TTGCACTGCATTACAAAGGCAGAAAGGAGTAAAAATACGACTTGTTGTGGTACGCCAATAAACCAAAACAAAGTACAACAAACAAACAAAGTATAAGAAATTAGTATAGTTCAGGGGTGCCCAACCAGTCGATCGCGAGGAGATTCCCAGTCGATCGCGAGATGTGTCTAAAACTAGAACAACAATATTCTGTTTTATCGTTAATGTCCTGTAACATAATCTTCCTATGGCAGAATAATGCACTTGAACGCATCAAAGCTTTGTGATTGGCCGGCGTGACCCCATGTGTCGGGGCGTGGCTGGTGGGCAGTGCACTATTTCGCTAACGTTGTCCGTGTCAACAGGAGTAACAGTCCGCACACACACAAGACCGCAATTATGGCAGAAGCAAAACATATATAATTTTCACTCCGAGTGGGAGGATGATTATTTTTGTATCTATTCCAATTCAAAGTCCATCTGTCTCATCTGCAATGCGAGCGTAGCTTTATCGAAGAAGGGTAATTTAGGAGCGGCATTTCAAAACAGTGCACAAATGCTACGAGACGGAATTCCCTCCTAATTCTGCCCTACGCTCCAAAAGGGGAGGGGCCTGAAAGGACAGCTAAATGCACAGCAGTCCATTTCCACCAGGCCCAACAACAAGAGCAAGGCTGCTAACATAGCATCTTATCGTGTCAGGCACGTTCTTGCGAAACACATGAAGTCTTTCAAAGATGGCGAAGTTGTGAAAGAAGCTTTCCTGGAGGCTGCCGACACGCTTTTGGGGGACAGTAAAAATAACAGAAGCATTTCAACAGGTTTTTGATATAATAAAAACTCAAGTTAGATACCGTTATTAATCAGCTGTAAGTTTTAGTTTGTTTGAACTTATTCATTATGATTATTGGACAAAATGGTATAAGAATGCAAACTTAAATTGATTATAGTCTATCATCAATTCAGGTTAAGAAACTAGTGTTGCTTGCATCCTATTTTAAAGGCATTTCTTTTTATAATCTACTAAAATGCAACAAAAAAAGGGTTTGGTTCTATTAATTTTGTCTTTTTTATTGCACTTTGGCAGCAGATTCCTGTGTAGCTTCAGATCTGAGTTGTCTTATTAGTAAGCCTCATTTATACTGTTGTAGCAACACTATTTGTATATAATGGCAAAGAAAGGGTTCAGCATCTTTTCTTTTTTTCCTGTGTCATATGTGGCAGCACTGTTCAAGGTTTCTTGAAAACATTACCCACTGTAGTGACGTGTGAATAAACTCCAACTCTGTTTCAACAATACTGTTGTGTAACTTCAGTTACATATTTGTATGTGTGTAGATTAGAAAGAGGTAAGATAAAGGATCTGCAGTATTTTATGAAGTATTAATCGTACAAAGGTCAGTTTTATACAAATAGAAATGTGTATTTACCCGATAGTAGGCTGTCAGTAATGGCTACGCCTCTCGATTTGGACTGGTAGATCTCGGCAGACTGGCAACTTTAAAAGTAGCTCTCGGTTCAAAAAAGGTTGGGCACCCCTGGTATAGTTAAACTTTAACTATGTTGAGACAGATAACTTTTTCACTCTGTATTCCCTATTGGTCTCGTGTTCTTTGGAGGTCTTAAGGTTGTTGTTTCCATTGTATTGTAAATAATGCAGCTCTGCCAGGTGTATGTGTATTTCTGCACCTTCTTAGACCATCAGTGAGGAAGTGGATCCTCGTCACAGACTTTGAGACAAAGTTCAGACAAAAGTTGCTAAGGATTTTCAAGGTGATACCAGGAGGCCAAAATATGTTACGCTCATTTCTACCCCTCTTCCTTTCACTTCAAACATATACATTCAGCTTTTGCCATTGGATATTTTGTTACCCTTAAGCGAGATAATCTGAGAAGGAAAGTAAAAGCCGATTCTCTGCTGTAACCAATGCAACCTCCATGGTTGTCTTGACAACTCAAGGTTCTTGCTGCCTCAAGCAGAAATCTACTCTGTTAAAAACATAAACACCCGGAAACCATAATGGTATTTTATGTCATCAAAACGGTACGAATACTGTACTGCAGTGCTGTCTCCCAACAAACACACACTCAACGTCTTCATGCTTCTACACCACTCATCCACATTTTACTCATATCATTTTCACCTCATTAAAATGAACTTCAGTACAGGCAACGCACCATTTTGGAAAAGTTTATTTATAATCTTGCTCTTATTTATTCTCTTGAGTTAATTCCTAACTTTTTAGCATTGTAAATGGAAGTACATCCCAAATGGTACCGTGCTGATGTGATGCTCACATCCATTTTAGATTGCCTTAGGGGCTTTGTAATAATGACAGGGTTGAGAAAGGCAGCTGGATTTAAAGATTTTTGTTTGAAAATAACAATCTTCCTCCTTCTTTTACACACTTTCCTCGACAATAGTTTTGGTACCTTATAAACAACATAACACATCCATAAATTAATATTCAACATATATTCTCAAATCAATTACAATATGTTATATACAGTATGGCATAATTCATTCCAATATTCCTCAAAATAATAAAAGAAACGTACAATGTATGTCAAACAGTGTGCACATTTATACATTCATAAATGCTTGTGTCCTCCAGGACACCTCAAGTGTTGGAGCAGGCGTTTGCATCCCACCCCAGTCAACAGGTCTCCTCTTCATGATCAGCCCTCTCAACACACTCAGGCAGAACCCAGCCAGCCAGTCTGTAATTACTGACTCCACTTGAGAGGAATTCTATTGGGCACACTGGCAGAAATAAAAACAACCGGGTGCAGCATTTCAGTTCACAGCACCTTTCCATAACTTCAAAACACCTGGAGCTTGCTGATGTGTGAGTGAAGAGCAGCAGCAGCTGACATGTTAGTACATCTTAATAATAATAATACATTTAATTTCAAAGCGCTTTTTCAGGTGCTCAAAGACGCTACAGTGGTGATAAAACGAGATAAAATAGAATAAAAAATATTAAAACAGCAACACAACATAATTCACAAATTAAAAGCCAATCTGAAGAGGTGTGTTTTGGTCAGTGTTTTGAAAGTGCAGTCTCTGATGTGTTGTTGAAGGGAGTTCCAGAGGGTGGGGGCAGCGATGGAGAAGGCTCTGTCCCCCCAGGTTCGGAGCTTGGTTCGTGTGGGGATAGAGAGGAGGTTCGCTTCTGATGAACGAAGGCTGCGGGAAGGGGTGTTGTGGTGGATCAGGTCGGTGTGTTATGAATGAATACTGACCAAGAAGGACACCAATTGTATAATTCATAGAGCATATTTTAGTCCAGTTGAGCCCAGACTGTTTACCTTATCCCTCGGCCATGTGGATATTTCAGACACAGACACATGGCTGTCAGAGAAAGCTGTGAGGCCTCCATGCTGCCTGAGATGACTGTTGTTAAAAGAGCCAAAAAGGGTGGCAGAAACTCAGGCTGAATACCTTACCAACTCGATGCCGTATGGCATGCCATGTGGCACCAAGGAACTCGATTTGTCAAGCAAAGCATTAAAACATAGCCACAGAACATGGGGTAGATAACAGACTAATGTTTTTGAACATAGTTGCAGTGATTTCACTTCATGTCTCAGTTCAACTTATTGGTCTACCATATATTATGTATTGTAATAGTAAGAGTCAGTTATCTGCACTGCCATCATCATTGGATTTCTGTGACACGTTGTCTGTGTTTCACAATAGTTTTTACCAAAGGTCTGTAATATATTGTAGTAATTATGTTTCCCTTGAGCTTTCCTAAAATCTTTCTCCTGCACATTCCCTTTGGATACGAGCCAAGGCGTGGATGCAAACATAGATTACAAACATGCCTCAACTCCAACCACAGCAACACTCCCTCATCAATATTCAGAGCAGTAATGGTGGATAATGTCTGCCCACACCTTTCTGTTCCTCGGTAAAACCTATCACAACTATGAGTTATATTATTCCCTTGCCTACAGTAATGGCATGGTGCATGGCAGCAGCATGTGGGATGGGGGGGTCACTCTGTAATCTGGGGCTACCATCTGTGGCTGTCAGATGAAGCTGCCACTTACTGTGCCTAACACAATCACCATGTCAACTCATTGGCAACAATTAGAGCTTTAGCCGTCCTCTGCAAGTATGGATGACATGCTATAAGAATGGAGGAGACATTTATTGGAACAAGTTGATTTAGGTTGTTCCTTAATGAGGTAGAGAATTATTCACTTTCTGGACAGATGTTTTACTGTGATTTACATTAAAACTATTGAATGCAGGTAACCATGCTTTAAGCTTACAGTGCATGTGCATGAGGCATCACCAGATGGGCAGAGCGATATGTGATGACAAATATACACTAGATGGAGCCAAACTCCACTAACTACTATTTCATCTTCTTACAACAGGGAAAGAAAACTATTTAGAATGACTGCATTTAATGATTATGTTACAAGATTAATTGATTTATTTTCTTAAAGAAATTATACTGGGGTATATATTTTAGTGTGAGAGTAGAGACGATTTTGGACACAATCTTAAAGTTGTAAATGGCACACTAAACAAAAAATATATAAAGAAAATTAATCTTAGGCTGACCACAAGATTCAAAAGCAGCTTTAATGCCCCTTTCCATGAGTTAGAAAATAACACATGAAGACTTTTTAAACAAATGTTTTGGATTATTTTGTGTTTTGATTGTTGGTGGAAATCACTGTCTGAAAGTCCAGTAAGAGTTATCGAACAGCAGACAAGATGCTGAAGGACAGACATCTCCAACATGCAGATAAATAGTGGTGTTTTCATTTAATTTTCTTAAATGCAAAAACAGTGAATCACATAAACTGTGTAATACATAATATTTTCTGCCACACACTTGCTGTCAGAGTAAAAGGAAGATAAATTGTGATTAGGTTTACATTTCCTTTGAATACATTTAAATGTGTTTTAGAACCACAGCATTTCACCATCTGAAAAACACGATCAATAGGCATCCATCCTGCATTACGAAAGTCAATGACTGAAAAATCAGGGCAAACAATTCTTAAGACACGTTTTAATACAAATAGATACAGACGGTATAATCTCATAAATTAATAGTTAGCAACTTCAATACTGCTTGATACAAGACATTCACCCTTAATCTGAAAGATTAGTATTTAAAAAGAGGCAAATGTTGTATTAATGAAAAGGTGACATATGCCATCCTTATTCCTGTCTTCAAAGTAGACATTAACTTGGCACATGGAACAGTTTCTGAAAGCAGCATGTAAAAAAATACATGCAGAAATACAGTGTGTGTCCGAGATAAACCAAACCCAAGTATTAAGGAGCTGAAATAGTTCATATGTGTATCCAACTCTCATCTTAATGCTCCTGTGTTTTCTGCTGATACCCTGAAAGGCTGAGGTCTGGGTTCTGCAGGTCTTTTTAAACACACACAGTGCCTGCTGAGTAGGACTTTCTTCTGGTTTCTCCTGCGTCATCTGGAGCGCTTGACAACAATTGTACCAGCTACCATATCATAAACAGTCCTATTGTGCTGGAAAAACAGAAGTGTGATGAAGGCGGGGAAAAAGAAGGCAATTGAAAAGTTCTTGTTCAAGGCTCGGACAGTTGATCTGCAGAGGGAGACAGAGACAGGCATTAGCAAACAGGAGAGAGAAGGTCATGTTTATTGTGAAAATTCCAAAAGATAATCTTTAAAATGAACTACTCACGCAGACAGAGAGACATTAGTTGCGGGCACTACAAGCACCCTGTTAGGCTGAACCAGAATAGATGAGTCACATTTTACAACTCTGAGTCCAACAAGAAACTTCCCCGGTGTGGCTCCTCCTGCTCCCCAAATGCACACAATCTGATGAGAGAATGGTGCTACTTTAATGCATGGCGGCTTTTCCAAAATGTCCAAAGAAACAGTTAACAGTTAAGATTAAGACCACGGTTTTGTTTGACTTTGTCTGTCATAGCATGCTCAACATTTTGACATGAGTGCTCACCTCGTAAAAACACACTAATATCCTGTACACAAGAGCAACAAGCATCATTTTCTGTAGCTCCTCCATGGATGTGTCCTCATCGATTTCCTCCACTATGAAATGCATGGCAAACTTGGAAACATCTCTGAAAAAGATGAAGCATTTCTATTATATTAATCCTAAGGGTGTTTATTCAATTACAGTTAAAGTTTAAAGGGATACAAACACAGGCCTAAATATTGTTTCATCAGCATACAAGTAAGAAACTCACTTGATTCCACTCAGATGCATAATACTGATGATAATAGTTGCTTTGATGAAAAACAGTATGAAGAAATCCACCACCTCAGCCAGGAGTCTTTGGAGAGGTGAAGGAATGCTATACTCCCGACCTGGCGAAAAGTATAGCAGAAAAGAAAGTCAGGCAGTTATAGTCAACTCTAAGTCTGGCTTACAGAGATCCAGTTCCCAAAGGTTTTGAATAAAGTATTTTAAGTATGGTAACCATCTTTTCGTTTGGTTTTTTGGTACGGTTAATAAAATATAACTATTTACCTGAGACTTGTTTAGAATCAGACTCAAATTCACCTTTATTGGCCAAGTGTGTCTAAACCATTGCTTTCTATGCATGGACAAAAAAATAAACAAAACAGCAAGTAACAAAGATGGGCAAATAAGAATAGATAAGACCTCAAGCACAAGTACCTAAAAAAGAAATAGAGAGAAATATTATACCAATAACCAAGCATTAAATAAAAGGAAAACGTTTATCTTTGTAGGCCTATATGTTAAGAGTTTTTGTAAGTTGTAAACTATCAAAATTAGTGCAAAAAAAACGAATAGACATGGACTAGATGATTGTATACAGTATGTTTAGGGTGGGGGTCTATAACCTCACATTATAACAATTTGGAAACTTAAAAAGTCAACGCAAAGCACCAGCAGCTTGTACCTGGTCTCTGTGCATTTCCGTTCTCCTGGCGCTGCTGCGGCTGAGCGGTCACCGCAGCCCCACCGGCGGCTTCACCTGCCCGCGAGGAGCCGGCAGGTGGATAGCTCGACGACGGAAGCCCAAACGGACCATTATACCAGTTCATTGAGTTGATATCAAGCGGTGTCGTCGACGGTCCAGTCTCAGACTGTAAGTAATAAGGGCAGGACATGGTTGCCACCCAGCTCTGCCAGCTGACATATCCACTGTAGTACTGCCACATCCAACCCTGCAGCTTCTCGCAATACTCTGTTGTGGTACAGCTTTCACCAGCGTCTTTCTTAACTTTGACATCGTTCTGGTGGTTTATTCGTTGCTTTACCTCGTCAACGAGAGGCTTAACTGAGTTCGCAAAAGGTTTATTCTTTACCTTATCGACTTCCATGTTTGTGTTTTCTTCGTCAGCCATGTTTGATGAGTTTGACGTCACGTACGATGACTTTCCGGATCAACTCATGTGGCAGCTCACTAAAAACAAACATTATGGTCAAATAATCCTTATTGTTTGAGACTATATTGCCTTCAAATGAATAATATATGTCTTTTCTAAAGACAGACAAACGCTCATGACACTTAAAACTCAAATAACATAAAACATTAATAAATGTTGCCCCAACTTCACCCCCTTATGAGAATATAATGGTACTGTCCAATCATGCCTGCTATCACAAGAATCAGCCACAAGGGAGTAGCATTTCTGCGAGAAATAAACTGCAGTGAGCTTTTGGCTATGAATATTACATTATTAGTTTTGGGGTAATGAGATTTTTCTGAATTGTTGTAGGTTTGAGAGATATGTCTAGTTTCAAACCTTTGCTGGATTAATCACTTCACATTGCTTGCTGCTACTCATATTTAAGCTGTTTGATGTATCACTTTGGGTCCTGGTAATATTTATTTAAATGTTGTAATATTGATGTTGTATGGTAATGATTTATCAATTATAACATATATATATATATTTGCTATAATATGACACATTAAATAAGTGCATGTCACCTTTTTACACAAAGCAGCCAAGTTGAATAACAATCTGATCAATTCATCAGCTGATGGTGTGATTGTGTTTAAAGGGGAAACCCATGTCAAAGGAGGTCTGGTTGTATAAGCCTTCTTCCACACACTATAGTAATTGAGCTTGATCATTAACAATAGGGTATTCATGAATCTAAAATGAGTGGGAGAATTTGACATCATTTAAACCCAGTTATTTTTCTTTGTAGGTAAGTTTGAGAAACCGGCTCAAGATACACTTTTTGTTATATTCCATGGAATGCTCTTAACATCCCGATAGCAATGAATATCTTAAGTGCTTTGACAAGCCGTAGTGCTGTAAAAGCCGTAGTACTTAACATCCCGATAGCAATGAATATCTTAAGTGCTTTGACAAGCCGTAGTACTGTAAAAAGCACGACCAATCATTTTAGCCGGGCCGGCTAAAATAACTGGATGGCCTACCTGCCTTCCATCTGGGCACAAACTTATCTCGTGCCCTCATTGGTCATTTGCGCGTTCGTGTGTGTTGGAGGAGGGGCTCTGCATATGGCTCTGGGGCTCTGTAAGGAAGTGGCAGATTTTTTCCGGTTGTGTATTTTCAAATTCTAGCGCACTCGAGCTGGTTTCTCCAAAATTACCTACCCTTAAGACCCTTAAAAAAGAGCATTTATTTAGACGGTGTTACACATTATTTTATATGTAAAACCATTCATGTTCAAGATATGCCAAATGCCTGAATGAATGTGCATGGTCTTATGATGTAACAAATCGGCTTTTTATTAGTAGATATTGTTTCTTGAGCACCACAATCCTTCCCTTGTCTGGAATTTTAACAAAGAATTTGGGCCTCAACCTATTCCCCCAAATAACCCTAATCAACACAAATAATGTGCACTTGCTTGAGCTCCACATCTTTGCTTCCAAGACAAGAGGGGCTTGGCACAAATGAGGGGTCACTGCTTTAACCCCAAGCAGGGATTTGGCCTTCCAACCACCCAGTCACCCACATGAGGGTTGCTCTGATCAGACATGTTTTTCTTGTTTGAACAAAAGGCCTCTGTCAAGCCCACTATCCACATCTAAAGCTTTAGAGATTGGGAGGATGGAGGGGTTTAAAACTGGTTAACTGGCCATTGTATCTTAATTTAAACCAACCCATTCGAAGGAGCAGATTTTAAAAATAATTAGATCAGGTCTTATTTACTGATTTTGTTAATTCTGACCAATTTAGTCATGCTTTGAACATTCATTTAGCAATAAAAGCCTAAAAAATGTAATTGACCAAAAATACCTTTTTTTAAAAGTATAAAGAGGTAGCATGCAAATCCTGATTGTTGAACCTTATGTTCCATAAAATGGCTGGTTCTTTTTCGTAGGCTGTATATAACGGTTTTTTTCAACTGAATTAGGCCTACAACTTGATTTATGCACAGTACTTGATTCCCTTGGTTCCTTTTAAGGACAGTCAAGTGTAGTCCTTTTCTTCTGGGTAAATAACAAAAAGTAAATAAATGAATGCACAACTATGACAGATTTTCACAGTTCAGACTTTATTTGCATGTTTGGCAGTAGCTCATTGCATTTGGCGTCTTGTAATGTGAAAGTCTAAAACAACTGATGTTTGATTATGCTCCTTTCTCATAAATCCTCACTGCAACCACGTCATCCATGACACATTTCTGTTGAGACAATGTTTAAAAAGTTAGAAATCTTACATTATAACACAGTTTAAATCCATCCACAATATCTTAATTACTCACAGCTGTTAGTTTTCCTTCTTGGATCTCTCTTTCCAATGTGGTCTTCTTGTCCTCCCACGTCTGCTGTTGCACGAGTTTGCCATTCGCACACGTGATCAGGGTCTGGAAATCACGTTTGGTCGTCAGAAACACAATATAGCGTTTATAAAAATAAAGCTGACAGACAGAAGATGACCCACCTTGGTCTTTCGGCCATCTGCAGTGGTCTCATCGAATTCTTCGTTCAGTTTGAACTTGATCTCCGTGGTCTTGAAAGTAGTCTCAGACTTCATTGAAACCATCCCAGCATCATCCACGCTGATCACCAGATTAGGCTTTGCCATGTTCCCCATTTGCCGGGTGGCGAAGCCCACACCTTCAACAAAACGAGGGTTAATATCAAATGCTGTAAACTGTCTGATGGTGTAAATGATGCTATGGATGCTTGTCGAAAACTTCGATTCTCCCACCCTTACATTTAGACTTGTAATGCATCATTAAAACCACCCCCTCTTGTTATGATACTCTTACAATAATTAAATATATCCATACCGATTGCCTTCATGTATTCATCAAAGTTCTCGCTGGAAAGCAAAGCCCAGGTTCCAACAAACTGCTCAACCATGATGATGAAGATAAATCTCAGTCCGCTACACAATCAAATATATTTCAGGTTCACAACTGAAAAGCAGAAATACTGGCGCCCAGGGAAAAGCTCATATTTGAAGCCTGATCAAGTCTGCTTGATTCAGAGCTATCCAATCAGCAGCAGGCTGCGACGTTGCCATGTAAACGAAAGGATTAGGGGGCGTGGCTATTGAATCTGATTTTGATGATGGTTTAACCTTTATATATAGGCTACAGTCTATGGGTTTAACATGGGGTTTGATAGGAGGGAAAATCTGGGTTTAGCCCAAGTCTGCTGACTATTCTGCATTCATCAAGTGGATTTAGTGTTGTGTGAGGTTGAATGTCGCCCCTGCAGAAGTTAAGACCCAGACAAATACACAATACAAATACAAATCCATAATAACTTGAACGACATTAAGAAATAGTAATATTCAGCTGGTTTATAGGCATGTTGCTTGATTGCACAAAAAACTAAATGTGCGTGTATTTTAAATATGTAAAAGAAAAAAAATCAAGACCAACACATATTAGGACATCAAAATGATATATTATTTAAATTGAATTTTTGTAAATATTTGCTGTGAAATGAGATTCACAATAAAATGGAGTAAATGTTAAATTCAAAGGTCGTTATAATGTTTTCCTCCATAATTGCAAAAAATTGCCACAAAACAGCATCACTCCCTCACTGAGTGAATGGTAACGCTCGGTTTGACCGGTAGATGGCGCCTGTGAAAAGCAAATAAAGCTGTTTCTGGAAGATCTGTTCATAACTAAACATTTGTAACACATTGTAAGATATGGATAGCCTACTCACACGTGTTGAAAAGGTTCCCCAAATCTTATTAAAGTTCAACATTTGTCATTGTAATAAAACTCAGTCCACAAATATATTTCCAAATGTTGTAAGAGCAGGCTACAATGCATAACTATTGTAATGTTAGACATTCAATATAATATACAAAAGTTAAGGTATTGTAAGTCAACTATGCCACAACACTGTTGCAGAAAACAAGATATCAGTTGGTGTGTGTCCAAGTATCAGACTGTCACATACTGCCTCCCAATGGTTTCAGTAATATACACAACCCCAAAAATGTAAACATACCCAAAGGCAATTGATTTAAAGTTCATTTGGGAGAAACCAAAAAGACAATAAAATAAAGGAGGACAAAGTAATGACTTTGCCGCTCTTTAATATAAATATTTAATTCACCTATGTTTATATATTTCAATCTAAATCCTCTTTATGAATGACATTGCAATACAACATGCAGATAGTGAATGCAGACAAATGGATAAAAACATGAAACAAAGAGAAACCTTTATTCCATTTTGGTTGTGTGCAAATATAAGAGTTCCTCAGTGTTGCTGAGAGTCAAACTGAGAGAGTATACAGACCTCAATGATTGGAGATGCTCAGAGCAAATCAGAGGCATTTCAGATTAGGGCTCTGTGATTAAAATGGATTCAGTTGTTATATCCTCCTCTGACTGCCTCCCACTGAAATACGTTCACATTGGTCTTACAAAGGTCTTGCAGACATCATTTGGGAGCAAAGAGGGACTTTATTAAACCACTCAAAATGGATTAGTCACTGTCTGCAACTTATAAAATGCTTGTCGAATTATGAAAGACTAATAGCTTTTCTGATTAAATAACAAGTATGGCCTAAGCACAATTTGTCTACTGAAAAAGAAGAACAACTCAGAAAAAAGTCACTAAGTCACATGGTCTGCATGCTCTCATAATTTAGTCTGTTTGTAGCTTTTGGTAAGGGATAATCATTTATATTGATAATTATTCACATGTAAATCAAAGTGGGTGCTTGATGTATAATTCAAAATTAGCTGTCAATATGAAACTAGAGAATCAATGCGTTCCACATATGAAGACCTTAATGGCTGTCAGACGGGTGGAATATTTGATTTCATGGAGCAAGTGCATTCATTATTCATTAACTTCAATGACAAGCAGTAATGATGTGATAGTCAAAGAGCCTGAGCTCTAATATGTCATGAAATGTTGTTAATAAGCCGATTATTTGTTGTTCTGTCACCCAGAGGGG